CTCAAAATCCGGGGTATTATAATCGCAATTGGGCTCATGGTCTATGGACAAGCATCCGTTTAGTGAAAAGATGATCCAAATTGATAAAAAGTAATGCTATCGAAGGACAAGAAGAAGGGGTAGGAGAAGAACAGTGATGCGGCTACTGACGCAAATTATAAAGGGTATCCTCGCAATCTCCGGCTCAACATCAGACTAAGTTATGTAAGTTAATGCGTCAACTGAACCGCCTCAACGTTGGCGCCCTCAATCTTCTCAACCACACAAGCAGTCCCATACGCACTCGCCAGTGCATAGGCTCCCAAATCCCCAGTCTCAAAGCGCAGGCAAATGACGGCATTTCCGCCTCTCTTCTTCGTTTCTTGCACAACCCGGCTGATGGAGTCGTTGCGGCAAGAGTACAGCATCGAAGTGTACCAGGCCAGTTCGCCGCCTACCAAGCTCTTTATAGCCATGCCAAAATTTGCGGCGAAGTTGCGTGAGCGCACCGTGACGCCGTAGACTGTCCCAAGGACTTTGGTGACGCGGTAGCCGGGAAGGTCCATCATTGCTGGGATGTGTTAGTTGGAGTTGGCGGAATTGGAATTGGGGAAAATGATGGCTGACTTGTGGTTATACAGTTGTCTGTCTCGGTGAACTATAGTCTGTAAGTAAGATGATCTTCAGCAGAGATACGAGAGAATGAATACTCACGCAGTGTAAGTCGGACAAGTTGGCGGGGATATCTGCAACATCCTCCTTCTGGTGCTTTGCTGATCCGAAACCAACCATCTTGACGTTATGTTTTCAAATCGTGTAAGTGTAGATAATAGTAAGACTTGGAAAGGTGCAGTTCAGTAAGATAAGGTAAGTAAGAAATTGGGGATATGATCTTGTTTGGTGTTGTCATGTAAGAATCCTTCACACACGATGAAGGAACCAGCTCCATCTTTATAGGTAGTCCCATCTCTTGGAATCCGAGAAGGCACGTCTGATATCAGTGCTGGCTAGGTAGGTACCTCACTTATCCAATTGGCTCGCCCCCAGACGTGCCTTCTCGGATCCTGAGGGATAATCATCTCAATCCCAAGGTAAGTACATCAATGGCTCGAAGCCAAATAACGCCCAGTCAATGTGGTGATGCCGATCTAACCGCCAATCACCCCACACTCAATCATCGTATTTGTCCCCTTCATGACTTGGGCTGTAGTTCTCGGTAGCTCATTCGCTGGCCTTACAGCTTGCATCGAGTTCTTAGTGGTCAACCTCATCGCCTCGTTCAATTCAGGCTTGGTGGCTGTGCTGTTACAGCTTATGGACACGTGATGGCGTCCTGCCTCATAAGGCTTTCATAACTTACTTGCTTTTTCGGTCATATTATGATTAAGTCTAGATAATGACATATTGAGTTTACGGTCAATACGATGGCGGCGGTATGTCCGGTCCGGGAGTGGGGCCGTGACTTCAGAGGAGGCCATCACAATTATATGTCAAATACACAAACTTCTGGATATGCTATACAATTATAGACGCTATCAAGTATAGTAACACTAACATAATATGTACTCCTCATTCATACAATCATTAATAACCATCAGATCTTAGAAGTGAAACAGACGGCTCGACCTCTTGTGGGCAGCCTTCTCAGCGGCCCTCTTTCTGTTGCCAAACTTCTTGACACGAGCAGCATCGCGGGCATGCAGCATGACAGCACTGTCGGTATCACGGCGCTCATTAGAAGAGTCCCCAGTGAAATTACACTGAGGCTGCTTCAGTCTGTTGCCAAACTCGTCAACAGCCCAGATCAGAACACCGTTCGTCCAGCCGAAGCCCTCAACGACCTCGTACTCACCACCGCCTCCTGCAACGTTTGTAGCGTTATCGGCGTACTTCTCAAACATGATGCCATTAGCCCCCTCAGCCGCTGACTGGATTCGGGGCAAGTCTGAAGTTGTTCCTCCAGTTGCGCGCCAAGTGCAGAATGTTGAGTCCAGATATCGCTGTGCGAGACGGAGAGCCAGTCTACGGACCTCGATGAAAGAAGGATCCATGACGCCGAATGTCGCAGGGACCTTTTCAAGTCCTGACATGAGGATGTGCATCAGGGGAGGCCAGACATTGGGCTGATCCCACTGTTGTCCCGACTCGACATTACTGGCAGGAATACCACCCTGACGGGTATCAAGGTAGTACGAGACACGCTTGTAAGCATTGAGGACTGCATATGGGTTGTTCTTGAGATAGTCGGGGGCAGCACCCAGCCAGAAGGGGTAGAACTGTGTAGGGCTGAAGAAGACCTGCTTGCCCTTGGGAGCATTCTCCTTGTCAATCTCGGCAGTGCTGTTGTCGGTTGGATAAAAGATCGATTGTGCCTTGGAAGTCAAGTTGTAGTCAAAGTAACTCCAGTGAGTCTCGTTCCACATGAAAGCGTGCATGGCAAAGCTGCGGTTGGCAGCGACTTCACGCCATTGACGACTGGCACTACTGTTGCCTGTCTGCTCATAGAACTCGGCAATGGCGATCTCGTTTCCGTACAAGATCGAGTTGAGATCAACGGGGATGATGTTTCTGGTGTTGAGATATCGGAGAGGGAAGTAGTTGTCGCGAATAGCATCATCGGGTCTGGCCACCCACTTGACTATGTGATTGTTAGACATGAGCTTCAATTTTGATCAAGTTCGTGAACGTACCTGAATAGTCGAGACCACTCTCTGCACCACTGGCGAGATTTCCGTACAGAGCCTCCTTTGTCTTGAAGTTGAGTTCCTCGCCACCGCTGTAAACCTCACCGGATGGCGAGTAGTAAGACTCGTTGTTTGCAGTCACATAATCTTCGCGGTACGACTCGGGTCGTGGTCGAGTGTTGGAAACATTATATCTATTAAGCATGTTAGTGGAAAGCAATGCACTGGAATCGATAGTCATACGTGTTTAGGTAGTAAGTCTCATTGTTAATGTAGACCGGAACCGAACGGTTAGTCATGAAGAACTCGTGCTCCTGCACAAGCAAAGGAAGAGCTCGCTCAAGAATATCAGTATCGTTGGTGTGCTCGATATAAGCCTTGATCATCTGAGACAGCAGAGGAGGCTGAGATCGGTTGAGGTAGTAGATACGAGCGCCATTGGGGACGAAGCCGTACTCCTCAATAAAATCAAGGAAGTTCTCGATGGTGTTCTTTGCAATGTTGATGAAAGAGCCACCAGTTCGAAGAAGACCCTCGATGATCCAGTACGAATCCCAGTAATAAGGCTCGCGGAAACGGCCACCAGCAACGACAAAGGATCGGTTGACAGGGATGAAACTGTTGGGGCAATCGCTGCAGTTTTTGGAGTCTTGGTCGTAGCGACGAGTCAGATCAGGCCAAATATCAATGACCTTTTGTGTGAATTCCTTGATGGCAGTGTTGTTGATCTTGTCGAGGAACTTGGGATCTGTTTCGAGCTCATCTTCGGGGACTTCCTCGAGCTCACCACCAGCATCGTCAAAGTATTCACTGAGAAACTCCGTGAGAGCCGAATTGTTACGTAGCGGCTTATCCAACTTGTCGAAAGCATCCTGGATCTCGCTCAGAGGACGAATAGCTGGCCTTGAGATGAATTAGTATCTGTAATGGTTTTAACAGTGAGGATTGGGTGATTACTTACATGTCGACAAAGGTCTTGGAGTCACTGAAAGGTTGGGCAAGCTCAACCTGCTCGAGAATCTCTCCATGGCAGTAAATTGGCGAGTCGCAAGGTGCAACGACTGTGCCGTTCACGTATAGAGCAGACACAGTTGTCGCTGACGCAGCCAAAGCCGCAGCGATATGTCGTGGAGACGGCATCACGTATTACTTCCTTCAAGTTAAAGAAAGCTACCGAGAAGTGCCAATTGAGTAGTGAAGAAGCAGGGTGGTATTCAAAAGGGAGGAGAGGGGATGAGAGAGAGTATATTTATATATACAGTTAGAGTTGCATAAAGTCACAAAGCTTGTGACTCGGCAAAGCCAAGAAGAATCATGACATGATACTTAGTGAACATGAACAGGATTTGAACCTGTCATGGGTTTGTTTAGTTGCTAACAGGAACATTTAGGCTGTCAGCCAAGAAGGGAATGGAAGATGGAAGCCGGGGGTTGCTAAAGCAAAGACAGAGCTCAGCTTGACGATCATTATCCAATTTTCCACATTTTTCCTTTTCCTTTTACTTGACACCCTCCACTAGGTACGAGCTTGTGCAGTTCAAGGTTCATGGTAAGGTAAAGTTAGCGTTTGTTTTTGCCAAGGGGCTTAAATCCAACTTTACATCATGATACCGAGATGGATGACCTAACCAGAGCTCTCCTAACTAATATTCTGTTCCATTGAGCTGTTTTCTAATAAAATATTGCTTCTATAATGAGTCTACAGTAATTGAATACAAATCAGTCATGTTCTATGTGACGTGATAGTCTCTACACCCCCAGACGCCACAGAAAATAAACAAACCAAACGTGGAGAAACATCTGCATCTAATCCTTGTTTCTGCTCTTATTCCCCGCACTCTCCCCTCTTAGCTTCGGCATCATTTACACGCTGCTTGCAGCTTTATTTGACCGATTGGCCAGTGACGTCAAGAAATCCCAAGTCTCAAGTCCCAAGTCTCCAAGTCTCAGGCGTTGGGAATAAACGTTCTCGCAGGGCGCGAAATTAAACAGATTCTACCAAGTGCATGGCCTAACAGAAGTGTCAGCGGCGTTCTTGGCTCGCCCGTTAAGAAGAAGATCTAGCAAACGGTAAACCTCGAGTACTGATTCTCGGTGTAATAGGACCGACAGATGCTCATTTTCATGACTAATTCCCCCCATACTTGTTGAGGCTGGTGATGCAGTGAATCGTCAGCTTCAGTCTCGGCAATCCCGTCAAATATCTTGACACCTGCCTGAATAGTTCTGAAATGTCAATTTAGTTTGCGCAAGGTCGTCGATCATCATCCTGGTCCTGGCTCTGATCATATGAAATTGGCCGAGACAATACCGTTAGTGACTAACACCAAGAACTGCCGGTCAACATCTAGCCCTAACTGTGAAGACATCTCTAAAGAGCAGCCTCATATGGACAAGTCTGCTATAAAAATCTTTCGATAGCTGAAACGGCTCACAGTAGTTCACTAACATATGTAAGGAGTAGGACCGAAAGAGCAAGCTCTAGATTGAATGCTACTCTATCCTTTCATCTATTGAGGCACATATACACTGCCCTTTCCAACATTTTGTTGAGCACTGGAATCTCCTCCCTCACCTAGAACCTTTTCAAACACAATCTTCAACCGTCTCAGAACCTCTTCCTCATTCTGCGCGACCTGGTAGTGCGTCACCAACCGGCTAGACATGAACTTGAGCCCAGCTTCTGCGCCAATCTCAATGAACCGCTTCGTACTGCATCCTGTCGCCTTGAGGTTCAACCACACCATGTTGGTCTCCGTCGGCTCATCAATTGTGCCACCCATGCTCGTCCAGAGGTCGTCGACCTTGCGTGCCATCTCGTGAGACGCCTTGAGAGGCCCATCTTGGCCGTTGGGCGATTTTCCAAAAGTCTGCTCGATAGCAATGCGTCCTGCAGATGTGAGAACGCCAGATTGTCGTAGACCGCCGCCGATAGACTTGCGGACCCAGCGGGCGTGCTTCAGGGTGGCTTTGGGGCCAACAATGACACTTCCTGCTGGGGCACCAAGACCCTTGGACAGGCATAGACTGATGGTGTCAAAGTAAGAGCAGTATTCTGTTAGAGAACCTGCTCCAGAGACGACTGCCTCCCATAGTCGTGCGCCGTCCAAGTGTAACTTAATGCCGTGCTCTCTAGCGAACTCAGAAATTCGCTTGACTTCGCTGAGAGGCATGACCATGCCGTGAAGAGTGTTCTCCAAACTTATGACGCGTGTAGGGCAGCCGTGAACATCATCATCCAGAGTCACGTTCTCCTGAATCTCTTCAAGCGTCATGTATCTGCCATTCTTAGGAATGACAGTCTGAATCTGAGCCCCTGTGAGGTTTGAAGTGCTACGAATTCGTCAATCCACGAAACTTAGGACTGACTTGCTAGTACTTACCCGCCTGCTTCAGCGGTGAAAATGTGAGCTCGGTAATCGCACAGAACTGAATAAGGAGGTTGAGTGAGAAGAGAGCGAAGAGCGAGCTGGTTTCCCATCGTTCCTGAGAGGACGAAAAGACCGGCTTCCTTTCCGGTGCGTTCCGCAACATAGGCCTCAAGGCCATTTGTAGCAGGGTCCTCCTGGAAAACATCGTCAAGGAGAGAGCATGACTTGACAGCTTCCAACATAGCTGGCGTTGGTGTTGTCACCACATCGCCTATACCAACCAATGTTAGAATTTGACATGTCTGCTTGTGAGTGAGTTACATACTGCGGAGGTCAAGAGCTGCAGGTCCTTTGGCACCGAGCCAGGCATTATGAGGCTTCTCAGAGATAGCGTCTCCCATTTTGGCAGATGAAGAGGTAAAAGTCCTTTGCGAAGAAACAATTGGGCGTGATATAGATAGAGGACGGAGAGGATATTTTGACAAGCTGCGAACTGCCGAGGATACGATAAGTCGAGAAGAACGACTCATCATGATAGAAGAGCGAATTAGACTCGAGAGGCTCTCAATCTCCGCAGAACGGAACAATAGAGTCAAGTCGTTATAGGGCGTAGAACGGGGTACAACCTCCACAAAAAACGTGTCGATAATGAGGGGAACACGGAGCGAGTCTTGGCCCCGTTGAAAGAGCCGATGCCGCCCCCGTCTCGGCTCCGGAAGCGATACCGATATCGATATCTACCTATTAATGGAGCCTCCCTCCCACTCTCACTCACAATACTAACCAACTTCAAGGGTCTACCATTATCAAACGGTGCTTATTTCCGTTTGATGTGTATAAACAGAATCTCCTTACAAAGTCTCTAGCTCTGCTTATAGATGGTTTGTAATGAGGCCACTGGCTGAGTTCAGCCATTTAATTAGTGTTCGTTGCATTGTTTGATCGTCATTGGGATGAGAGTAATAGCGGGCCTCAATGCTATGCTATGGATACGAGCTACGAGTATCTTCACGTGGGACATCGAAAAGTACCTACGTATGGAATTGCGTCAGCCCGTTCATCGTTATCAGCCCTGGGAGATTTCGAGAATATCATTATCAAACTAGATTAAGCAAGCCTCAAACACTTGTTTTATATTACATGGCGTCGGTGCTTATCAGTGTCTTCAGCTGCCGACGCTTGTTAGATTGCCGGCTTCATAGTCTGACAGGAACAGACATTTCAGCCAATGAAGCAACGCCCTGCGTACGTCGTATTGGAACAAACTCGTGTAAAACGGCCTGACCATCCCTGTATGTTGAGGCTGAGGGCGTGCCTTAGTGACTTAGTCCAAGATCAACGTATTAGCGGGCTGATTCTCGAATCCTTCTGGGGACAAGATGCCGTGATTACCGATTTGTTGCTCCCTCATGCGACCTTGTGTTATTAGACACATGTCACTGCTGCCATGTAATAGCAGCCCTGTTGCACTAACGTTCTTCTGACTTCTTATTCTCTCATTTCTCTTGATGTGCGATATTTCTCATTATGGCTTCTCGCGTGCCTTATCGTTTGTTCCTCTCGTTGATACCCCTCGTCTGCGTGGTCGTGCTTCTATCTAAGCAACCGTTCTTTGATCGTTCACGCATTCATCGCATCACTGATACAGACATCAGCGTTTCTCTCTCGCTTCCCCGACTTAACTTTTCAAGATCGCATCACGAATATTACGCCTCAGATGCCGCTCGTTCGTTATGCGCCTCACATGGCTACACTGTCTTCAACCCTCATCCCGATGCGCCAAACGGTCGCCGCAAGATTTACGACCTCTTCATGGTCAATACAGAACTGGACTTTCTCGAGATTCGATTAAAGACCCTTTATAATTATGTCGATTATTTTGTTGTCGTTGAGGCACCACTCACCTTCCAGGGTGGCCCCAAGGACCTTGTCATCCGTGACAACTGGAAACGTTTTGAGCCTTACCATGACAAGATGATTTATCACCAGCTCGAGTATCCAAAGGACTTCAAGCCCTTGCGTCACTGGGATCGAGAAGACTTACAGCGCAACGCCATGTTCGACCAAGTGTTCCCAAAGCTCACTGGCGAGCAAACCCCAACTCAAGGCGATGTCATTCTGGTTGCCGATGTCGACGAGATTCTGCGCCCTGCAACGATGCTGGTACTTCGAACATGCAACTTCCCTCGTCGCCTGACCCTTTCGTCCAAGTTTTATTATTATTCCTTCCAGTTCCTACATGATGGCCCCGAGTGGCCATTCCCACAGGCAACCTACTACCAAGGCATGCGTAATACCATCCTTCCTGGAAATTTGAGAACTGGAGATGCAGGAATTCCTCTTCTCAGGGACTTGGAAAAGGGAACATTGGCCAATGCCGGTTGGCACTGCAGCTCGTGCTTTTCGACAATAGGCCAATTCCTGAATAAGATGGCCAGTTTCTCGCATGCGTGGATGAACCACGAATCCTTCCGCGACCGAGATCGTATCGCAAGTGCAATACGTGAAGGCGTTGATCTATGGGGACGTAAAGAGAATACTTTCACTCGAATAGACAATAATGTCGACCTTCCAACATGTCTGCTTGAAGATCGGGGGAGGTTTCGATATATGCTTGATCGAAGTGGAAAGACGGCGGGGTTTAGCGACTACCCATGAACTTATCTTTTGTGGCGGATGATTATGAGAAATGTTTTAGGCATGGTTTGGTCCGGTCCGGTTTGGTTTGGTTTGGTTCATGATTTCTGGATGTATTAGTTATGAGAATCGAGATACCCCTTCAATAATGAAGTGTTTCAGCCTCCAACAACTCCCAAGCCTCAACTTTGGAGTAACTGCGCCTCGGTACAGAATCTTCAAAACTGTCTTTGACATTCGTGCACATGAATCCTTTACTGTTGATCAGGCACTGTTAGATATGGTTCTTTATCGTCATGAGTTCGATTTGGAGTGTGTCTTGATCAATTTAAGATCCTCCTCTGAAGGGAAGGAATCACATTCGTACAATATTCAAGGGGGAGGAAGGAATGTGCCGAAAACGGTGGCCCTGTGACGGCAACAACCTTCTTCCTCCCTAGACCTAGCCCATTTCACTGGACTTGCCCAGCTAACGGTAACCCAAGTCAGGCATCCATCCATTATCGAGAATCCACCCTTGGGCAACTTCTCTCCACCATCACAACTCTCGATCAGCAACATCAAGTCATCAACCTTCAGTCTCTGAGGTCAGCTCTCGTCTAAGCGATGATCGGCTCACATCGCGATCCAATCGCTAGCTGATCCTCGTCACGTAGCGTCACTTTCTCCGCAGCTCCTCAGCTCTTGGACTACCAGGTGGTCCAGTCACGATAGCCTCAGTGTCACTCCCAATAAGCATCCTAGGGTCGGTCATATCAGGGGTTCAAAAGTCATTCGGAACTTGAGCCGTGTGAGGAATGTCCATTTGCAGAAAAGCCATTGTCTAGCGCAAGATGTTCGATTCGCTCACAGTCGTTGACGGCGCTCCAATTAGAAGCCCGAGTCCACCTTTTCCAGACCTCGAATTCCATTTCATTTCCGTACGAGGAAGTAATAATTTCGACCCTTTCCCACACGATAGTTTTTTTTCTTATTTCTATTTCGACTTCATTCGTACCATATGCCAATACACTTCGCACTTCTGTCCATTGAATCTCACAGATATTTCACAGGACGTTCAGTTGCGCTGTTTGAATTATCTCACCACTCCGTCTCCACCCCCGTACCGATAGAGCCCTCCGCTCCGCCTCCGTTCACCGCCGTCCCCGTCTGATCGGAGCTCCCGAGGGCTGTCCGAGTGCGCAACATGACCTCATCGCGCTCATCTTCTTGAAAGTATCAAAGCTGAATGTCGCCCAGACTTGTTCCTGGCCAGGCTTTTTTACTATTTGTTCCATTCGTAATTACAGGCTGTCCTTACTTCCTCGCCTATCAACGACGATCTCTCGAGCAACGAGCTGCAGCACGATGGATTACCCCGACTTAGAAACAGAACACTTTCAAGGAATAGACGCCCCCTCGCCTCAGGGAGCAAGAAAACATCAGGCCTTGATGCAGGATATAGCAATAAACTCAACACAAGGTATCCTAAGCTTATGCTAGTTTACCTAAGTCTTTTTGTCACCTAGGATCAAGGTCTCAAGTTTTCTTTCCTGCCCTGGCCTCGGAAATAACTCACGCCTACAAGGCTTAGAGACATGGAACCGACCATCTAGGAAAGGGACCCGTTCATCGGAAGCACCTGGCCGTTCAAGAAAACGACAACACCCAGTCAGAGGCACCCACGATATCCTTCCCTGCTGCACCTCAGATCCTCACCAGTTCGTTCGCTCGGCCGGGGTGTGGGTGCGGGCGGGAACGCGATGCACTGCGTGATGCGAGGCGGGATTGACAGGGCGATGAGCCACTGCAAAACTGGCGTGCGGCGCTTGTCAACTGCAGCGATGAGTTGGCCAACGCATCAAGTGGTCCGTGTGTAGCCTCCTAGAGTTTCCCTCATCAACAACCCCTCCCTCACCTCTTTTCTTTCGTACTTTCTTGGACTGCAGATTTTATTCTTTCTGTTTATTCTACTATTTGGCGATATTCTACAGCTTCTGGTTTACTTGTTGGGCTTTTTTCTATTGAAAAAAAGACTCTTGGCTGTGAAAATGGGTGTTGATAAGTATCCACACCCAAGCATCACCTGGACTTTCTCCGCCTCACATTGACAACTCGACCCATGTCATCTGGGACGTTCGATTCTCTCCAACAAACAGTCAATCTTGAAAACCCATTCAATGCCTAATAAAGTCGCTCATTATCCCCTCAGCCAACACGGGTTTCTGCGATACAGCTCAGAAAGAGTCCATCTCTTGCCACTATTCTTGACTAACAAAACACAACTCAGTCACACATTCAAACTCGAATCTGGTTCTGGTTCTGGTTCTGGTTCCTTTGTCTATAAACAAACACGTCTTCCCATCAACTACCAGGCTTAAAAACTGAACGAACATTTTCATAACGACATAATCATTCAGTCATCAGCCGTTTCTAGTCAGCCGCTTGCAGGTTACTTACACAAGCTGTGGCCGACAACTGCCCATGCTTTACTCGATCATAGTATGTTCCAAGCAGAAAAACAACATCCAAGAATCATATCGTCATCATCGTCAACAGCAGCAGAAACAATAGCGCCTAGGCCTCCAGTGAATAACAAAAGGAAACAGTGAGGAGTGGCAAGCGCCAATTCCATATACAAAAGCGGCGTCCCTTGGGAAAAGACCTTTTCTCCTTTCTAGCCAGTGCTGGATTTCTTCCCACCATGCAAGATTATGCTCCGTCCATTAACAAAGAAAAGTGTCATGGTTTTCCAGGGCCTGGGTAATGGCGACATAGGAGCAGCGAAGAAGTCTTCGAAACCCCAGTAAAAGCTGCGTATGGGCCAACAGATATCTGGAAAACTCATGAGCTCGTGAGAGAGGAATTTATATATGTTTACCCTTGGTCTTTTCACTCGCTTGTCATACGCCGGTCTTGTGCTCTGTTGTTGGCCCGAGGCGCAAGCAAAGAAGCCTATGTCTGCCAGATACTGGAATAACTGGCACAGACTTGGACGCTTGTTACCTCTTGAGTCAGAGGGTGTGGAAACATGCCCAAGCGAGTGTTACAGCAACCACACCAGCGAGTTATGGCGCTGATTATGGTCGCGTGGCATACTTCATTAGAAACTCGACTACTGCGTCAAGGTTTGTCTCTTCTTTCGCGCTGATACCATAGCAGCACACCTCACGACCACGTATGCTCTTCAGGTCTAGCTCGTCAATCAACTCATCCACCGAAAGCTTGTCCGGAAGATCGGACTTATTCCCCAGGATGAGAAGTGGTATACCCTCAAGCGACTTGCGGCTCATGAGATCATGGAGCTCCTCCTTCGCCTGGGGAATCAATGGTGTATCGGCAATATCCACGATAAAGACGATGGCGCTCACGCCTCGACAGTATCTTTCCCACATGGTTCGGAACCGGGGCTGGCCACCAATATCCCAACACTTCAAGGTAACATGTCCGCGCTGTACCTTTTTCATGTTGAAACCAACGGTGGGGATGGAGCTATCATCTGGAGTTAGCATTGGGACCTCATGACACAGTTGAAATATCCGGACAGGCTGCAGCGAGATCGAGGAAATTCATGGCAAGAGCCGGTATTGGGAAGCGCTTACTCGAGCGTGAATTCACCGCCCTACAAACGCGACAGTCAGCTACAAGCGGTCAAGCAAAAAAACCGACATGTCGAAACCTACAGCGAGAACTCGTAATAACGAGGTCTTTCCAGCATTTTGCAAACCAACCATCGTCACTTCCATTTCCATCGCCCTGGGAGTCATTATCAGCATGTGGGTTCAAAAGCTGTCGCAGCTGTGTGCAGAACAGCCAGTCGCGAATGAACCAAGAAGTTTCTGTTGGTTTTCCGTGGAAGCAACCTCATGATTATGGCTACTTACCAGAACATGCGCATGAGCCAATTGTAGACCCTTTGGAATAACCCTGCCATATTTGCTATCGGGTCACGAAAAACGTTGGTCGGGCTGCGGTAGGCGGTCGGGTGAAGGCGGGGGTGCTGATTGGAAGAACGCTGCAGCTTGTCGCAAAGACGAACGAGAGAAATGCCGTTTCTTTTGAAAGCTTCTCCTCTTTGACAGAAGAACACAAAATGTCTCGGTCTCGCGAAAGAGGGTAGAAGATGTGGTGGGCGGGGTGTTTTATGGGCGGACAATTCTTGTTGGTGCTCAGATGCAGGGTCGTGGTTCTTGGTGACAGGAGCGAGAGGAGCGGCAGGATGGCGGTTCAGGAAAAGCGAGTTGTATGACGGTGGCAGGCGACAAGTAACATCTGCACCTGCAAAGTTGTGCGCGCCAGCGTCTAGGCGTTTGGAACAAGGTCGGCGTCGGCGTCGGAGGCGGGTTCGAGCGGCGATGGAAATAGTGAAGGAGGAGAGGCTCGTGGTGCAACGACGGAGGAGCAGTACCTAGATTGGTACAGGTGACGCCTAGGCGGAGGCACAAAAAAAGAGCCCCACCTGGGACGAGATGACGGCCGAGACAGTCAACAGAGACGCCAGAAAGGGCACCCAAAAGACACCCAGCAGAGACCACCAACGGGCACGAGCCTTTGGGGCCTTTGAGGGGGCAAGGAATGGGGAAGTGGTGGGAACGACCCGTGCCTGGCGGCGCAAGTAGCGTAGCTTTTAGCGCAGATGCAGCGCCAAAGGAGCCCAGAGAGGTTACCGAGAAAGATTTGGTGCTGTAGAGGGTTAAGTCGAGTGTAAGCGCGAATATCAAACTCAACGCAGGTCGAGGTACTTGGCAGCAGTCGTGAGACCGGCAGCTATCGCACTGCTAGCTCCCCAGGTAAGCTACTAACTAACCCAGGGTATGGTATGTATCGATGGCAGCAGGAGAGCTCAAGCTCCAGGTCAGGCCAGGTAGGGAGGCCTAAGGCAAGGTAGAGCTCGTGCAGGGATGAGCAGTGAGCGGGAGCGCCAAAAGATAGTGATTGGGGACTGCAAGTCGTCGCGGGGTGTTGTGACATTCCAATCTTCAATCACCTGGCCCAGCCAGAGGTGGCAGCAGTGTGGGCTAGGCGCTGCGGCGTTTCATTCGCTTGAGCAGAGGAGAGCTTGCTTGAGTGGAGCGATGATCGACCAGGGCACGCAGGGCTCCAGGAGGTCGACGTCAGTGCTCAAAGTCAAGGGCTCCCTCCTGTGAGGGCGCCTAACGAGTGATGCTGTGCCTTTGTATTTGTTCGTAGGGTTCTTGTCGCCGCAAGATAGAGCGGTTGGCGAATGATGGGCTGGCTGGTAAATAGGCGTTTGATTTGAATGTTACTATCTTCGAAATTGCCTCCTAAAATCAAAGTGCTTCACGGTTAGCTGCAGGGTCTTGAGAGAACGGGAGCCGGCAAACAAACCCACCCGATGGGTTAAGACTTGTAGACGGTGACAGCGTTAACGATCAATACTGGATCTGATCGAGGTACTCAACTGACCTGGTCGAGCTCGACTTGTGGTTATAGGCCTTGAAAGCGGATAAGAGATCTCCTGGGCAATGCAGCTCCCTCCGGATCGTGCAATGTACAGTAGTTTCAAATACGGGCGGTTTGAGGTGTTTCAATGTTGTGTTGCAATAACACATGCAGAGTGTGTGGGCCTTGATCGCCAGCCACGGACAGCCACAAGTTAAAGGCGTTGGTTGATAAGGGGAAGATGAATCAAGTTGTTGGACGGACGACCGACCTGCAGATCAAGGATATGTGCTGCCTCGAACTACCTACAGTCCTTTGTTGAGTGTAGTATTATAGCCCAGCTCGATTATATGTTTTTGAAGGTTGCAGGAGGAAAGTTGTTGCAGGGTATGAGGTGAGCCACACATAAATCGCTGCCCTGTGCAGCGGCACTTGGGTAGCGGAGTCGTGATATCTGATGACCCTAGGGTTACCTTGACATCGAGATGATTCAAGGAGGAGCCGTAGCTGTGAGTATGGAAAGATAGTAAGATGTGCAGAAGACCATAGTGTTGAAGTACTCTCTTCTGCAGGAGGACCAAGACCAAGTGCAGCGAATTGGGCTCTTGCCTGCAAATCAAGTGAAGTTGGTTAAAACCAACCGAGGTCTCACCAAAGCGTTTATCTCTAGGACCATCAATCAATCAATTCTTGGACATGGTACCTGTATGTACTGTACCTTATGTACTGCAATGCAGGTTGGGCTGCAGATGCTGCAGGCATCGCATTCGAGGCTTGTAACCCCAGCTCTTATTCGTGTAGTAATTGGGAAGCTTTTCACTTTTGGGCTGCAAGACAAGTGCGTCTCGTCATCCTTGGACTATTCCTCGACAAGGTGGCAGCCCAGTATTACTCCGGAGTGTCTGGCGTGCTCCAATTTCATCTGGTTACCTATTTACCTCTTGTCTCTACGCCACCGGAGATAACTACATTGGTAGCTGACAGTATACTTTTAGTGGCCTTCAGTGCCTCCAAACTTTCCATTATCGCACTTGTTACTAACAAAAAAGGCCGAATCGTGACCACCTTTTCCAGTTTGCAAACCTCCCGTCGTCCTGGCCCCCATCTTCGACTTACTCAGTCAGCGTCGTACCTAAATTATTTCCCAGGCACCAGCCTTAGGCCTTCATGCTCTTGAAGCGGTGATTGGCGACACAAAGGGGCCAACTTTCTTTGCTAAGCATGCCTTGTGACTTGGGAAACGGTAGGTAATTCGTCATCATTCTCGTTTATTATCGCCTCTAGCTAAGAATCCTGGAACGATGTAATCTTCTCGTTCGCGATGCTGCCTCTGTGGGAGCTTGGTTCCGCAAGGATAAGATACCTAGCCCGGCTATTCGCTATATTGATTCAATGTGTGTGTTTCATTTGACTGGCCTTGACATTTATGCCTTCTTTCTAAATTATGAATGCAATGAACCGTTCAGCCGTTTCAACCGCTCATGCGGCCGAATTCAAATGTTACACCTAAATCGCTTGACTGATTGATAGAACCAGTTCCCGCATTCGATGATGCTTGCTCCTCATTCGCTAGCTCATTACTCCACCTCTGATAAGATAACAACAATGACTAAGCCTAGCTTTGATTTTTTTTTTTGGCTGGGAACTTTTTTTTTCTGCGCTGCGATAGCCTCAATCTTTGCGATCGCGAGCGGTCTTTCACAATAGATTTGCCGCTTCTCATTGTTTACAGCGACAGGCAAGATTCTTCGAATGTTTTCTTCTATTGCGATTGGCTCTACTACTGTTTATTTTGGAATTGCTGCCATCGCTCAAAAAACTTCACACCGAGTCTCGCCATTCTTGAAGCTCTAGGCCATTCTCTAGAGTACCAGTCACCATGGCACCCTCGGCCACCGAAACCGAGTGGGATCACCAATTCCACACCCTGCGCCGAGAGGACCTCTTCCGAAACCCTCCCAAGGATCACACTGCATATCCTGCCCTCCAATTAGCCGTCGACCCTCACCTCGAGTCCTTCAATGGCTTGTTTCGCGACGATGGCAAGCCAGGCCTGCTGGCGCATGGTATAGCCGACATTGGCGCCAGAACATACCTCGATGGCGACGACCGCGCCTCGCCAGATGGCAAGAATCGCCTCACTATCCGATACAAAGACGTCTTCCTTCAGAAGCCTCAGGTGCCCCCTTCCAATAAGATGGCCCGGAACCGTCAGGTTTTCCCCGCCGAGTGCAGAGAACGCCATGTAACATATCGAGGAAGGCTCTCAGCTACTCTCGAGTACCGCATCAACGGCGGAGATCCAGTTGAATTTACTCGAGAGTTTGGCCAAGTACCTGTCATGATCAAGGTTTGCATACCAATTTCTGCTTTTGGGTTTTCTTAACTCACAAATACCAGTCGAACCGATGTCACCTGGAGAACAACTCGCCCGCGCTCCTCGTTGAGAGAAAGGAAGAATCCGAGGAGCTTGGAGGATACTTTATCGTGAACGGTATCGAGAAGATTATTCGAATGCTGCAGTTGAACAAGCGAAACTTTCCCATGGCCATCAACCGACCTAGTTTCCAGAACCGTGGCCCTGGTTACACTCCCTATGGTATCATTCTTCGTGCAGTTCGCCCCGACGAAACCTCTCAGACCAACGTCCTCCACTACCTCAGCGACGGAAACATGACCTTCCGTTTCTCATGGCGCAAGAACGAATACCTTGTTCCCGTCATGATGATCCTCAAGGCATTGGTTGAGACCAATGATCGCGAAATCTTCGAGGGACTGGTCGGTCCTGCTGGCTCCAAGTCCACCGAGAACACCTTCTTGACACACCGAATCGAGCTGCTTCTACGGACGTACAAGTCATACAACCTCTACAGCAAGTCGGATACAAGAGCATACCTGGGCGAGAAGTTCCGAGTTGTTCTGGGAGTGCCGGACACCATGACCAACCTCGAGGTTGGAACTGAGTTCTTGCGAAGAATTGTCTTGGTCCACCTTGGAAATGTGGATGTTACTGAAGAGCAGGATAAGGAGAAGTTTAAGCTGCTTCTTTTCATGATCCGAAAGCTTTATGCGCTTGTCGCTGGTGATTGTGCTGTCGACAACCCCGATGCCGTCCAGAACCAGGAGATCTTGCTTGGTGGTTTCTTGTACGGACAGATCCTCAAGGAAAGACTCGATGAGTTCCTCAGCGTCAACGTTCGAGCATCTTTGCGCGATTACCTTCGAAGGAACCCCGGCGTTGCCTTCACCTCCGAGGATTTCCGCAAGGAATTCCCCAACAACATTTTCCGCAAAGCCAACGAGAACCTTGGAAATGCTCTAGAATACTTCCTGTCAACAGGTAACTTGCAAAGCGCCTCAGGTCTTGATTTGCAACAAACAGCAGGTTTCACAGTCGTGGCTGAGAAGCTCAACTTCTTGCGTTTCATCAGCCATTTCCGCATGGTGCATCGTGGTGCCTTCTTCGCCCAACTGAAGACTACGGCCGTCCGAAAGCTGCTCCCAGAGTCGTGGGGTTTTATGTGTCCTGTCCACACTCCCGATGGTGCTCCTTGTGGTCTTCTCAACCATCTTGCGCACAAGTGTAAGATCATGACTGACTACGTCGATGTGTCTCATATTGCTTCTCTCGCTCAGGAGCTTGGAATCGTTGACGTTTCCTCGGCTTCGACTGAAGAGAATGTCGTTGTCATGCTTGATGGCAAGATTCTTGGTTTCTGTACCCCCAAGGAGTCTGTCAGAATTGCGGACTGCTTCCGATACTGGAAGGTTGAGGGTACTCATGGAGTTCCTCTTCAACTTGAGATTGGCTACGTTCCTCCATCCAGGGGTGGATCTTATCCCGGTATTTACATGACATCAACACCCGCAAGAATGGTGCGCCCTGTTAAATACCTTCCTCTTCAGAAGGAGGATTGGGTTGGTCCTTATGAGCAGCCTTACATGTCTATTGCCGTTGTGCCTCAGGAGGTCGAGTCTGGCAAGTCAACACATGTCGAGTTCGACCCCACAAACATGCTCTCGATTCTCGCCAACATGACACCCTTTTCCGATTTCAACCAGTCTCCCCGAAACATGTACCAGTGTCAGATGGGTAAGCAAACCATGGGAACTCCTGGCGCTGCTATCCGCTACCGAACCGATAACAAGTCCTATCGCATCCAAACTGGCCAAACACCCATTGTGCGAGCACCTCTTCACAACACGTATGGCTTCGACAACTTCCCCAACGGTATGAATGCCGTTGTTGCTGTCATTTCTTATACCGGATACGACATGGATGACGCTATGATTCTCAACAAGAGTGCCCACGAGCGAGGCTTTGGCCATGGTACAATCTACAAGACGAAGAAGATCTCACTCAAGGACGACTCTCGAACCAAGGCCACTAAGAGTGTCACCAAGGCCTTTGGCTTTGCCCCACACAGTTACGTGAGCGCTCAGTACCAGGGCATGCTGGATGACGATGGTCTGCCTCACGTTGGTCGCCTGATTCAAGAGGGAGACGTCATCTGTGCCTGGCACACCGTGACTCCCGACTACAATGGCAAACTGGTGAACCTCGATGGCATCACTCACTATGAGAAGTACAAGGATTCGGAGCAAGGGTTTGTCGAGGAAGTCCGCCTGATCGGAGCCGATTCAGGTAACGAGCCTCTGCAAACAATCTCTGTCAAGTTCCGTATTCCCCGATCGCCCATCATTGGTGACAAGTTCTCTTCTCGACACGGACAGAAGGGTGTTGCCTCGCAAAAGTGGCCGACGATGGACCTCCCCTTTTCTGAGACAGGCATTTCCCCCGATATTATTATTAACCCCCACGCTTTCCCTTCTCGTATGACGATAGGCATGTTTGTGGAGTCGCTGGCAGGCAAGGCTGGCGCGCTTCATGGCCTTGCGCAAGACTCGACGCCGTTCAAGTTTGACGAAGAGAACACGGCAGGAGATTACTTTGGCCACCAGCTGATGAAGGCTGGGTACAACTACCACGGCAATGAGCCCATGTACTCGGGCATCACTGGAGAGGAGCTCGCAGCTGATATTTACATCGGAGTCGTCTACTACCAGCGACTGCGACACATGGTGAACGACAAGTACCAGGTGCGAACCACAGGTCCAGTCGTGCCTACGACCGGTCAGCCTATTAAGGGCCGAAAGAGGGGTGGTGGTATTCGTGTCGGAGAAATGGAGCGTGATGCTCTGCTGGCACACGGAACTGCTTTCCTGCTTCAAGATCGTTTGCTCAACTGCTCTGACTACTCGAAATCGTGGATCTGCCGCCGATGTGGTTCGTTCCTCTCTGTGCAGCCAACAGTGTCACAGTTTGCGCCGGGCAAGAAGAAGGCCGCGAGCATCGTACGATGCCGTGCCTGTGCGGTCAAGCTGGACGACGCGGAGGGCATCGATCTTACCGAGATCCAGGGTGAGATTTGGGAGGACGGCCACGGTAACTCGTGGGTCGGAGGCGACCACACTACGCAAGTTGTTGTCCCTGGTGCGCTCAAGTTCCTTGATGTTGAGCTTGCTGCGATGGGCGTCAAGCTCAAGTACCGTGTGGACCGTGGCGATGAGCCTCGGAAGGGTCCGATGAGGCCCATGGCATTAGATGGCGTTCGGGTTGGAAAATAGAGGGATATATTGTGCTGATGATTTGGTTTTTTTTTTTCTTTGAGCTGTTTATATGGCGGCGACCCTGTACATTCACAATAGTGCATCATGTTAATACGAGTATGACTTGACAATACCTTTTAGAACTTGCAAGTGCTTTTTTTCCTCCAGCTGGCAAACATCATCATCCATGCCATGCATTCTGGTACCTTACTCACAGACAATTATTGGGATGTCTTCACCGACTTTACTCGACATCATACTTGCACCCATCCGCCAACACCAGGTATTTCTGGTTGATAAGCAGATGACACCAATGACGGCAGCAACACACACACAGATTGATACATATCCACGGCATCTCGGCATCGGACAGCGCCGAGCAAACGGAGCATGAGAACGTGGACAATCGGTTGCCGTATACCTTGGCCAGGAAACCAAGTGATACAAAACGAATAAGGCGGCTGCGAGTAGCCGAGACTATGGACGAATGGCAGCTGAGGGGACAGCTGTTGTTGGAAGATGAAAGGAGTGTTTGTGATCCAAAAGGGGGAAATGTAACAAGCCGTTCTGTGATTCCGTCCATCTGCTACTGTCTGTCTCTTTGGCTGAGAGCAGAACAGGGGCACACAACAACGTGGATCCTTTGTAGGATATGACAATAGCATTGCACAGAGAGAGAGAGAGAGAGTTTTAGTGGAGGGTATAGATGAGAGCAGTGCTTCTTTGGTATATCTAGAGCAAGGCTAGAAGCTTGAAGTGGTGCAACGAGCAGCAATAGCACACAGTCACCACAACATTGGGTTGTTTATATAACCATGACTTGACTGAACTCGGTGTTTGTTTGTTTAGTTTACTCTTTTCTCGAGGTCATTTCGAGTCTTCGATAGTCTCGACTCTTCCTGTTTTATCACTCTTCGATGCCTTAGGTGCCTAAGACTCAATTTATATAACGAGTAGGCCCATCTTATAGCTGGACCTGCCCAACAGGTGCAGCAGCCGACACAGATTGCACCTCCCCCTAGGAAGATAAAGCCTAGCTTCGACTTACTTACCTAGTTTCTCTACCTACTCAACTTGGGCATACCCAAACTTGGGCCATTCTCTTCTTCACATCCTCATCAACCTACACCATGCGTGTCATCCTCGCTTGGCTGCTCTTCGCTGCCGTCACAGCACAAAGCTACAACTACGGCGGCGTTGATATCGACTCCCTCACACGCAGACAAGACCCTGATGCACCGATCGTCGTCAAGGCTCTGCCTCAGACTCGCAATGGCACTACACCACTGAGGCTCGAGATACGACAGATGAAGGCCGACCGATACAAGTGGGACTTGTTCATACTCTCCATGAGCATGTTCCAGGATGTCAGTCAGGACGACCCTGCTTCGTGGTACAAGATCGCTGGTACGTGACACTGTCTCAAGCAAAACGTTGTGAGGATGCCTTACTGATACATTGCCTGTTCAGGGATTCACGGGGTTCCCTTCGAGGCATGGAATGGTGTTGAGGCCGCTCCAGGAGCAAACCAGTCTGGTTATTGCGCTCACAGTTCCGTTCTTTTCCCAGTGTGGCACCGGCCGTATCTAGCTCTCTTTGAGGTATGAGGAGACCTGTTATTCCTCGTGCTTCTGCTAACTAGATGGAACAGCAAGAGCTATATCGAATGGCCAATGTCATTGCCGGAATGTTTCCTAACGGGACCGATCGGCAAACATATATAGATGCTGCACGCGACTTCCGAATGCCGTATTGGGACTGGGCAATGCCTCCCCCTGAAGGAGAATCGCATTTTCCTGATGTATTCTGGAATGCGACCATCTCCCAATGGGGCCCTCGAGGTGTTCAGGAGATACGCAACCCTCTCTACTCGTACAGGTTTCATCCCAAGAACGCAACTGCTATGATTTGGAGTCCAGTGAGTGCCCCAACGTTGCAAGAGAACTCGCATTGACTGTCAACTAGCTGAGAGACTGGGACGAGACCAAGAGAGCCCCCAACGTATCTGAGAGTGAAACCGACCCGACATCTGACAACCCAAAGGTCAACGCTGCGCTACTATCGAGACTTCCAGAGATACAACGGCGCCTCTATGAGCTCTTGACTAGTTACAAGGACTTTAACAGCTTCGGGACCAAGGCATGGGGTGCTACGCAGAATTTGTCGACGGCAGACTCGATCGAATCTGTTCACGACATTATTCATACCGACGGCGGTCTCGGAGGACACATGACATATGTCCCTTTGTCTTCGTTCGATCCACTGTTCCTACTTCACCACGCCATGACAGATCGAGTAGTTGCCATATGGCAAGCTCTCAACCCGTACTCATGGGTCACTCCAATGCCGGCGGGAGAAAATAGCTTCACCACTCTCAAGGGGGAGATGCAAGACTCTCAGTCTCCATTGACTCCGTTCTTTGCGTCTGTTGACGGCACCTTCTGGAACTCGGACACAGCCAGGACAACAGAAGCTTTCGGATACACGTATACTGATACTGATCTCACGGGGAGACAGAAGGAAGATGTCCGACAAGAGTTACAAAAGAAGGTCAGCGAATGGTGGGGAGGTTCAGCTGCGGTTGGTCTTCAGGCGAGCACGGACGTTAAGATGGCAGGCGGAATCCCTTCGACAGACTACACGACCAAGTGGACTATCGCTGTGTTGGTAAATATGGGTGCATTTTCCGGTTCCTACACCATCTACTTCTACCTGGGACAGCCGCCCACTGACTGTGGTGAGCAAACGTCTCATTATGTCGGCGGTATCCCATTTGCTGGCAATCTCATGGCAAACCCATCAGACTCGGTGATTACAGCAGCACTGCCCATCGAATCTCGACTCAGAGAAAGAGTCGTATATGGAGACCTCCCCAGTCTCGGTTTCAAAGAGGTCGAGTATTATCTGCTGGAACGACAGAAGCTCCAGCTCTGTGTGATGGCCGACTTCAGAAGGGTTGTGGATCCAGCTGAGATCAGCGGACTACGTGTTGAAATTGTCAGTTCAAGTCACAAGGATGATCGAGATTCGTTCAAGATAGACACTTCTTAGATGAGTGTGTTGGGTTTTAGGCTGAAGAACAGGTAGAACGGGACATGTTTAGAAGAGGTATTGACAAGTCTTTGCTGAATTGAATTGAATTGAATTTACTGAGCTAGTCTTGTCTAGGAAACCTGTTCGTCAGTGCCGAGGCTGCTTGATGTCTTTGGAAGTTGGAGACTTGGAGTTGGTGGCTTTTACAGCACAGCACAGCACCAACCACATAGTCTAGTCCTCAGACTCAAACCAAGGTGCAAAAATTAACTGGAATATAGGCCTGCTAGGATATGCTAAACTCATCTCAAGCATTTTTGTCCCTTAGGACAGAGGTCACAAGTCTTCTGACCCCCAAAGGCTTGGTATTGTCTCTGATGCAACCTCGTCTCAGCTGCTATGTCATAAGAAAACGCCATAAGCATTATTTCGCCCTTGTCAAGCAGTATATAGCAACTCTCTACTCCTCCCACGATCATCTGTGATATTCAGATCCTCAAATATCACAACATGGCAGACTCACACATCCCATCCGTTCCTCCACCATGGACCCTCAAGGGCGACATCTACGCCTTCATATTCTGGACGTCTCCCTCGCAAGCCAAAGAAGGTCTTCCAGCCATGGCTTACTCTCCTCTTGAAGGACAATCTGGCTTTGCCAAAGACCAGAAAGCTCTTGGAGGTCTGAGTATGTTGCAGCTTATTCGGTACACGGACTCTCCAGTTGGACCCTACGATGAACTCATTCTCGCGCCGGGGACTTTTGGGTATGAGAAGGAGGATGAGAATGGGAGGAGAGTTAAAGGAAAAGGTGTCAAGATTACGCGGATTTATGTTTCTCAAAAACACACATGCTACAATGGTAGAAAGAGTACGCCTACTCTCGCGATATCTTCTCTCTTCCCCTACTAACAAAGGATAATCTAGACTGGAACGTCCCCAAACACCTCGCCAAGTTCGACTGGACTGACAACTCAAACGGCTCTACAACTGTCAAGGTATATCCTCACGATACTTTGCCCACGGACTCAGCTAGCTCTGAGTCAGCCTCACCGGATCCCACACCATTCTTCCAAGCCACCTTCAAGCCCATTCGCTATGCGCCCTCATTTCCCTTCCGAACTTCATGGATCAACTATTTGGGCTTCGACACCACCTTGGTCTTCCCTCCTCTCCCTGAAGGCTCTGGGAGTCAGGGCGAGCTGCCTGGTACTGACCAGTGGTGCTCTGTCGTTCCGCAACAGTCTACGTCCAAGTGTATGTTGGGCTGGTTTGACGTTGAGCAGCATCGGGATGAGGAGGGCAAATTGACGGGTGAGTTTGAGAACTTCTGGCCTGGTTGGTCCAAATGGCAGATTGGGATCAAGATGGAGAATTCTGTTATCGAGTTTGGTCACCCAGAGACATGGGAGCCGCCAAGGACGAGGCTATAAGCATCATGAAGAGTTTCACAGTTTGCTTATTTGGATCTGAAAGTCAACTTGGCCGTCAAGAAATCCCTGTTCGAGACCTATGCGCTAGGGAGAGTCATGCAGGTTACTATATACGTAAGTAAGCAAATGCCTCTTTACCAAAACACCGTCAACTCCTAGTGTTTGCGTGTCACACAAAAATAACAACCTCAACCCCGTCTCCAAACCAACAGGTTGCCTCCGTTGGCTCTCCGTACCCATATCCGTAGCCCATGTCTGTATAAGTACCCCAGTCTACGCAAGAAATACAGCTTTCTTGAGCAGCCCACTGCTCGCTCTTTCGATCAGTCCTTCAAACATCGCACATGTCCAACAAAGTCATACACTCAGCCCTTTAAAAGCTATTCGGTATCCTCAATATCCCCTCAATCGTCATAAGCTATCCATACAGGATAATAGCAGAGCCAAAGGCCTTTGTCAATAGATATAATTAGAACAAACACCAGTGATGACGCTGATCAATGGCTGCTTGCTTTTCGGGGATCGCCCCTGTGTCTCGCATCGGTTGAAGTATTTGGTTGCCAGGGCAATCGGAGTTGGTCCCATATTCATCGGTTAAGGCAGACGATCAACGTTTGTCCACCGTAGATGCGGGTAGCTCTGTAAGGGTAGCATATTGTCTGACATTCACTTGGTGACTTTATTCACTCAGTGTTTCCAGTTCCCCCCTTCTTGGCAACTACTTCTCGTGCATAAAATTCGACAAGCATAGTCGCATACGCTTCCAGATCTTCCACTGGAACGGCTAATCGAAAATCGTTGAGGAGCAAGAATTGGAGCTCGAGGTGGTTTAGTTCAACCAAAGGCAGACCACCAACCTATCGTGTCGTTAGTTTCATCTCAGCAAGAAAGGGGCAGCTGAGCATAGCTACATACCTTGGCATATCTTGAGTTGGTGTAGAAAACATCTGAGAAGAACTTGCTTGCACACGTCACACCAGAGATGATGAGACGGTGTATATTGAAACTGTCGACAACAAAGTATGTCGCCGCTGCAATGCCACTGTATTCAGTAGGGGTGGCAGCTCCCCTATGGCTGCTTGTCCGGCTTGGTCGAGTTGAGTCAGCCATTTCCTCATCGTCGTCATCTGCCAGGTCCGAGTCACTCTCGTCCACATCCATGCCCTCACCGCGCATAGGGGTGTCTTGAGGAGAAGTTGCATTTGGTTGCTGGGGCCGCGTTTGCCGCCGGTTCTCTTCATTCCTCGTGACCATATCATTGACACGTTCGGTCATACGATCGAAGTATACCAGCAAACTGAGGAAAACCTCGTAGGTAGTGGGGCAGTACTTGTGTATTCTCGAGAGGTAGCTGAGAATGGTGATAGCAGGGACATTCTTGCCGTGAAACGCGAGAACTGAATGGTTCAACGATGAGATCGAGTTGCCACTAGTGTCCCCGGACTGGTTGGCCTGTTGTTGATGAGCAACATTGCGCTGCATTGCATCGTGCTGCAAATCGTTGGTGGTCGTGATCTTTGTTAGTAACGCAGCAACCATCTCGATGATATCCCCTATGGGCATACCACTAATCTCATACTTCATCTGCTGAAGAGGCGGGTCATTGAGTATGCCGGATCCGCCATTGCCAGATAGCAGGTCGGCACTGGCCAGACTCTGAATATGCGCTAGGTCACGAATGTGTATGACAGTCTGTGTTGGCGTTTGCGACGATGCGCTGGAGGGAGGAAAAGACGGGTTGGGTATTTGGAAATCGTCGGATGCAGGAGATGGCTGTTGAGTAGAAGAGTTGTGAGAAGTTGGGCCGGGCTGGGAAGCTTGACCTAGGGGACCAGAGTCCCTCGCGTCAGATGCCATAGACGGACTCTTTGCATCATCGGCATAAGCAGGGCCGGTGGCAGCAGCGGGCGATGAGGACGGAGGCGGGGAGGGGAAGCGCGAGGCTCCGCCAGTGGCCGACACGTGGGCGGTTTCGTGACCCGCAGGCACTGGAGTAGAAGTTGACTCTGAAGCCGATGCAGATGCAGGCGCGTGCGACCACGTCGCAGAGCTGTGGTTGCCGCTGAAGTCGGCGAGTTCTGCTGTACGCTGCGCTCGCGGGGTAGTGGAGCGTCGTGATCGGCTGGCGGATCGATAAGAAGAGGAAGAGTCGTGTGAGTGATGGTGTTGAAGGGAGGGGTTGGCAATCATGGTATGAGGATATGAGGTGTCTGAGATAAGGTCGCCGATCACAGCGGCCATAACATCGCTATCGAACAGACTTTCGTGGGTGAATGAAGCGAAAGTTATTATTAAGAGAAACGGAGGGGTATCGTTGTTGTCGCTGGTCTCGCAGAGGAAAGTGAAATCGTAAACGGCGAGTTAAACTGCGGGACAAAATAAAAACAAACTATTAGTCGTCAATATCGCACAAAACAATATCGTATAGGATAAATATCGCTTCTTGGGGATTTCAAGCTGTGGGAAAAGATTGAAGCAATGCAGAATGGAGGCGATGACGATGTCAGAAGCCAAGACAAGTTGAGGAAATCGAAAAGAATCAAGCAAATGGAGGGGACAACATGCAGTAGAGGAGGGGAGAGGATCGGGCCGGTGGAGACTCCTAAGAACCAGAACCAGAACCAAGACAAGGACAAGCCCAACAGTGGATGCTGGAGGCTTTTTGGAGGCTGAGTGAGCAGTCAATGGAGCCAGAATGAGGGGACTCCCGGTCAGCCTGACTGACTAGCAACTGGCGTCGTCCAGTGGGTGCCCAGGCGTTCAACAGCCTGCTAATGAGTGGTCCTCACAGCGCACCAGAGCAAAGCACCCGCCCCTCGTGGGTGAGCCAGCGGGTACCGAGTGGTGGTCGAGGCGGCTGGTCGACCGGATGGTGGGGTGAAGGCCGATTCATTCTCCCCGACAAAATCTCGGAACCAGCTCAGTGGTGCATCTCCCTGGTCTGATTGGTGCATCTTGTTGCAGCAATTCAGGGTTCTGAGTGTTTTTTGGTTCACCTTTCCCCTTTGCTTGCAATCTTTTCTTTTCTGGATAATTCGAGGGTGTCCCAGTGCAATCCACGGCTACTTTAACTGTCCTCTGGAGCCCATCTAAAGAATGTATTCCTGTTGGGTGGGGGTTGAGGTGTGATTCGTCGTTGATCATATCCTGTCAAGAGGATGCGCAAAGGATATGCCCATGGCTTTTCGTCATTCGAGACAAGAAATGTGCGGATTTGCATGGCATAGCCTGATATTCCATTGGCAATTGTTCAAATGACGAGAACGGCGGGATGACCATCGCGTTGCCACCTGCAGTGTCGTTGAAACCAGTGGAGGTCCAACGATATGTCCGATATGTCGGCCATGGCAAGTGTAGTGGCGTTTGTGAATTCGCATCCGTCTTGAAAGCACAGGCCGACGACGTCACCACCCCCTGCCACCATATTGTGCAGCGTGCAGCCATCCAGAAGTTGAGGGTGGGTGGCTGACTCGGTCCCTGAGACTGTTCACCAGGCGCCCTCGTGTTTGCGACAATTTTCCTCCGTGGTCGGGTTTCACTCAGGTTTGGCAAACTGAATTCGACGCTCATGTATTGATGAAGGGTGACGATGTGTGGTACACAAGGAAATAATAGGTGGTAAGGCAAACATGAAACTGGGCACATGAAACACATCAAGATGAAGCAAACATATGGCGCACTTACCGAAGGCTATGCAGATAAAAGCAGATTTCGTTCGAACCAGATAAAGCCAGTCGCAAGCGTGTATGGGTGTAATGATATAAAAGGAGCTACCGTGCGAATTGATTCAGGGTGATACTCGAAGAGCCTCTTTGGATTCGGAGTAGGTTGAAGTTAAGTCAAGTTAAGAGTGACAAGCACCAAAGGATAGAAAGCGATTGGTTGTCTTAGGTAATGTTGAAACGTGATTCCAAGACTGGAGCGTCTTCCGGAGGAGGCGACGGACACGGCGAGGAGCGGCCACCGGAGCGGAGCGCGTTAGCTGAGGATAAGTCCAGAGCTTTGGTCGATCGATACCTCCTAAAAGAAATGATGCGAGTCGGCTGCCGCTCAAGGGTTATCAAGCTCGAACGTGGGAGTGCGTCTTCTAGGTGTTCGGATGCAGAATACTAGAAGCAGTTCATCTCACCACGTTAGGTTTCGTTATGATAATTAGGCCGATAGACAGATACCGCTAGGATATAGCGGGCAATAAATCGCTGTAAGCTCCGAGTCCAGCACAGACGACACGCAAGCGAGCACTGAAGTTTCGATAAACACAGCTATAAAATTTTTGGTTCAAGCCCCATCTACTGCAGGGGGAAGGGCGACAGCGAATCGAATGACACGGCTTTGGGGTATGATTTGGCTCGGTCGACCAAAATAGCTTGGCCTAGAGGCTTTGGTACTCTTCCGGTCCGTTCGCTGGGGCTGGTCTGGATCTGAATCTAGCGTAGGGGTCTCTCCAGGTCAGGCGATGGACCTGTTGGAATGGCTCGAGCTCGCTGTATAGTGGAGTTGAGATGGAGACGAGTTGACCAACAACTCGATATATGATATTCACGTCTCGAGGTACGTAAGGCTTAGTGAACAGTTATGTTAAAAAAAGAAGGAAAAGGAAAATCAACAATAACGTGGGGACAACGATATGCGTAAGGTAGTCGGTGGAGAAGAGGAAAGGAGAGAAGTTATCTTTAATATCTCTTGGCGAGTAGTGAAGCGATCAGAAAGTTGTTGAGTCGACTCTGAATCAGGGAAAGAATCCATCAAGGCGCTTCCTTCCTCCTTGACCCCGATGCCTCGCTTCTACTTATCTGTCCCAACCAAAGATCCGAAGGAAGGAGTCTTCCACTCATTAGGACCATACCTTCCTAAACAAATACTAGTGATTGTAGATCAGGGGTTTTGACAACGACATGACAGGCTTTGTTAGCCAATACCTTATCCAGATATGTACAAAACAATGACATCGTGCTCTATATTTCATCCTTTCTCTTTTCCATGCCAGACTCAAGAACTGTCATTGTATGTATCTTGTCAGTCTGAAGTGGTCCTCCACATTTCCAGAAACAGCCCAGAGCCAAGGATCGACGCACGTGGGTGTGATCACTCCTCTTTAATAAGAAACAAACAAGTGATGTGATATTCCCAACAAGAGCCAAACTCTTCGAAGAACGGGCTCTGTAACTCAACTCGGAAATACAAAAACCAGTGTAGTTGCGTAGAGTTGTCATGCATGAAGGCTTAAACACGATAACTTAAAAGGCAATACGTACATGAGTGTGATCTTCAGTCTTTAACCGAGTATTGGCAGTTTCAACTCGATTTATCAGGCGTATGGTCAGAAGAGGAATAGTCATGTTTCTTTATACAGTAGATGTCCTACTCAGTATGTAACCAAATATTGTATCCCTAAGCTCAAGTCAAAGACAAGTAGTCCAGAAGCCTACGAAGTCTATCCCAAGGTTATTTGAGTATTTTTGTCAGATGAGGTCGTAGTTTTCTTGCCTCCCCTTGACTAACAATGTATCAGTAAATGCTCAGCATCCAAGTCATCATTTCAACCTGATTAACACCACAGCCATAAGCTTGATACAACTCCAACTCGGCGTTCGGTAAGTTATTGACCGAAGGTACGTAGTTACGAGTTGATAAGCCCTCTCAAACTGAGTGGACAACCAAGATGATGAATACCGGTTATCTGCAGGTTGACCGTTTCAACTATACAAATCCGTCATCAACACGAGAACTCACCACCTTCATCACGCAGCATCCCTCTACCATCCTGGAACTTTCACGAAAACAAAACTTGATATAGGGTTCTCCTGCGTCTTTTTCCGTTGGCAAGGGTCCACACCGGATATATACAAAGGGCCACCGACATCGGGTGCAACCTCCTTGGGGCTGCAGTCTCACGATTGAGTCTTATGCAGGAGAGCGAATTTACAATCCCTGATCACTTGGGAAAGGCTCCTTGTAGTAGTGATCTTCTCTCACTTTCATGGATGTACACGTGCCCTATCTTCGTCAATTAACATCTCTGCCTATTATTGCTGGCTGATATAAATCATAAGATGGTTCAAAGTTCACCGCTCAGGTATACAATAAGATTGAAGACAGAGTCAGTAGAGTAAAGCACGGGCATCTTATGCAGTCGCCTTGAGCCAAAGAGCATTTGCCGTTCAAGCACATGGCAAGTGTTCAGCTGAAATAGCGACTCCCGCATCACCAGGTACTTACCACACAAGTCTCGTGAGTCCCTCATTTGTCGCCCTGAGTCCACTCTGCTGCAAGTCTTGATACACCAATTTCGATCATCACTGGAAGCCTCATTCTAGAAGAAGCGGTGAACAATCTAAGGTAGATAGCCGCCACCACTTATCTATGTCCGCCTTGCTTTGGAAAGCGACTCATTTGGGCTGTTTCGAATTGATTTGCACCGTCATGTAGGCTCGTATTCCAGTAGCTTGTAACCAAGCAATGTTACCCCACGTTATCAACCTAATCGCAGCTTCACATGTTGCGGGGATTGGACTTGGATCGCGGCCCGATGCATATCCCGTTCCGCTCCCATATTGGATCCTGATTTGTTTCCTAATGAGGTCGGTAGATGTATTGGTTTTCTTGTTCCCATTATCTAGTGTACAGCGCTTCCAGCATCTATCGTTGGCTGTTCTCTGAAGAGTTTGACCATATGCTCTTCGTTCTTTACCTTGGCATCAGCTAGGGGTGACCATGGAAGGCCTCTCCCCCTTTCGCACACCCTTTGTCATGACGGGTTTCATAGTAGCGCTGCTCATGCTAAGTCGTTTCTCCTTTCCTCACTTTGTCCTGTTCACTAAGGACGATTACTCGTGCCGCACGGCGTAGTCGGTATCAGGGAGATACAAGTGTCGGTCCGCACCGTCCTTGGTGAGGACGACCATACGAATGACACCACCAGAGCTACCGTCCCACTTGATGGCCTCCCTCAAGGCTCCCTTGACGAAGTTGACTGCATCATCCTTCTCCATGCCCTCTCGCCAGTTGGCATCACAGTAACCGTAGATGTAGGTCGATCCTGAACCGCCGATAGCATAAGATTGCTTGTGAAGGGAACCGCCCAGGGGAATAGAGTAAACTTGGCCACCGAATCGCTCATCCCAACCAGCAATGATGAGACCAGCCCTGTAAATGATATTAGTATCAGTTTCGATTTGACTTGAAATGGG